GCTGCGGGGGGGGGGGTCCCGGGCGCCCAGGAACTCATCCCTGGTGTCCCCCCCAGACCCCGCTTCAGTCCGGCCAGCCCTTCAAGTTCTCGATCTTGGAGATCTGCGACCGCATCAAAGAGGAATTCCAGTTCCTCCAGGCGCAGTACCACAGGTGAGGGGGGGCGGCGCCCCGCGGGGACCCGGAGTTCACCCGCCCGCTCACCTGGGAGCAGGGGGAAGAGGCGGGGCCAAGGGGCCAAGGGGCGGGGCCAGGCCTTCCAGGGGGAAGCGCAGGGGAGGTGGAGGGGACCCTCCGTGTTGGGGCATTTGGGCCTGGGAAGGGCTGGGACGGGGTGCGGGGACGGGGTGGGATCAGGAAGTGGGGAGGGCTGCGTGAAACCCATCACTTTGAAACCGGCCCAGATGGGGTGCGCGGGGGTCTCCCTTGGGGGAGACAGGGAGAGTGGGGCCCCCATGCCCTGTCTCCTCCCCAGCCTCAAGCTGGAATGTGAGAAGCTGGCCGGACATTCCACTGGCTTTTCCTTTGCAGTACTATGAGATGTCCTACGGGCTCAACGTTGAAATGCATAAGCAGGTAACTGTGTTGGGGATAAAGGTGTTCAGCAGGGATAGTGGGGTCAGGAAGCTGTGGGAGGGATAGCTCCAGGACAATCTGGGACAAGGCAGATCCAGGGAACAGGGGTCTTAACCTGAAATCTCTGGGACCAGGGGGCCAGGTTTTAGCCTCAGGATAGAAAAATGATTCTGAACTTCTGGAGACTTTGTCCAGCCTCTGGAGACATTATCCAGCAGAGATGGGAGTGGTGAGCGGAGCCAGGCATCCCTGTCGGGGAGGGCTCATAGCTGAGGTCGGCAGCAAGCCCGGGAGGCTGTGGATGTGACTTCTGTCTTGGGAGGGGGCCAGATGGGCAGTCTCGGAGGTCCCTTTCAGCCTGGAGAATCTGAGGTTTGGAGATGTATCCTGAGGGTCTGAGAGAGAAAGAAAAGGGAGAGAGAGAGAGAGAGAGAGAGAGAGAGAGAGAGAGAGAGAAACATTGACTCCGTGCCAGGCCAGGCCGAGGACTGTCCATGTACCATCTCATTTAAAAACGGCCCCCCAACTCTGCCATTTTCAGAGAAGCCTGAAGCCCAGAGTTGGGGTGAGCCTGGATCTGCCCAGCACCCCCTCCCCTCCTCTGGGCCTTTGCCTGTGCTATCACCCCTTTCCCCGGGGGATGCGTCCCTGCAGCCCTGGCAGGCTGCTTCCTCCCGTTCCTCCAGCCGCAGCTCGCGTCCTCAGAAAGGCCATCCGGACCGGACCGCACACCGCTCCCTGCCCGCCCAGCGGCTCCCACGGCGGCCACCAGGTAGGTATTTGCTTCCTTGTTTTCCTCTCTTGTGCTTTCACCCGGGGGAGGGGGGGCCGCTGTTTGCGGGACTGGACGCGGGTCTCAGTGTCCCTCCCGGC